TATTCAATGCCATCTTATCCAAGAAATTACTTAAAAATAAATTCACAATAAATAATATCACAAAAGTCAAATACATTTCGATATAATACACCAAACTTAATACGCCAATTAAAACAATTATTTAGATTTCGTAATTTTAATATCTAAAATATTAATTATTATGTCGTCGATTTAATGACTTAGCAGCACAAAAATACATAATAACAAATGTTCACAACAAATACGAGCATTTTATCGAACAAAAACTGATTTTTTAACAAAAAAGCAAAAGACAAAAAAAAAGAAATGACATATATCACATAAAACCTATACATTTTTTTTTATATTTCAGAGCTGAAGTAAAACGACTTTATTATAAGCCTTATGATGGTTTATCTTTGTATACAATGACGTTTAAGTTTATCAAAAAAATTACACTTATACATGTGTATTAAATAAGATCAAGACGATTTCAAATATCCGATCATGTTTAAATATTTTTGAGAGTATTTTTTAAAATAAATTACATCATAAAATGACATTTCTATCTCTTCAAATTTAAATAGATTTTTTTAAATCAGCAGCCACATTTTTTACACTAGGAAATATCAACAATTATTAATTCACGAATGCTTTTGTGACATAATACATTTATTAATGAGTTAAGTAAATAAGATTGAAGTGCTTATAACATGCACAGTAATGCCAAAGCTGAATTGAAGATTTTTATTTTTAAAGATGTAAACCGCTTGAGGACAATTACGAACTATAATATTATAACAGCATGTTTCCGTAGCGATAAAAAGTATCAAGTAATTCATATATAAATATTTTTCAATTACTTATTTTTAGCACTCCTAAGTATTAGTACTCTAAAAATGATATAAAGTATAATTTTAAAAATATTGAAGTAGCTGAGATCGTCAGGTTCCTACAAAAGATATTTCCCATCGTTTTTAAGCATTATAATATCTTGAAAATTAAATTCAGAATTGATTACAGAAATGTAATATTCTGTTACCGAATGTGCTGATGTTTGTACGTATGTACATATCTAATCAGAATGCCAATTGAAGTATTAGATAATTTAAAAGTAAAGAAATACTTTTATTTTGGCAAATGTTGCAAACATGAAAAACTTAGATAATCTATCATTGTTAAATTAGATACTACTCTTAATATTAAACTTAATACTACCAAATCAGACTTATTAATGAAATCTCTTTGAGAGTTTTGTGAATTATATCCAAAGTTCTAATTGACCGAGCGCTTAGTGTAGGTTTTTAAGATGTTTACGTTCACCGTCGATCGCAAGCGCTAAGATTCTAGTATGGAATCCGGTACAGCGCCCCTAGCGGTAACTATCAAGAACTAGAAATCTTCTTACAAATTCTTGACGCAGTCAATATGGAACGGGTTAACGTTAAACATACACTTACCACTCTGATCATGAAAAGTTATACCGTTTTTTATTTCACGACGAAAAATAATGTTGCAAATAAATAAATATCGAATTATAAATACCAAGTTGCCGTATTAAATAATATTATTATAAAACTAAAGATAATAATATCCAGTTACATGCAGTGTCAATACATTCACAATTTCCTCCTGCACCGCGTGAAAGCCTTCTAAGTAATATTAATTTCTTTTAGGTTTTTTTTTTCACTATTTTCGTAGTTAATTGCTTAAAATTTATTAATAAAATAGAACTTTCTAATAAGTAACAATTTTGATTTCAAACTCCTATTATGATATAACCTAATTCATACTAAAGTTTGACATGCTTAAGGCCGTTAGTACAATGACTTGCGAATGCGAAACATCTGCGAATGATGACAGGGTTGTCACCATCTGAGAAACAAAATTCGTGATATTCAGATAATCATCAGAAACCGTGACGGGTGGCAACCCTGAATGCGAAACATTGACGTCTGTGTAACGACCTTTTTCGCGGTTGCCTGCGAAATCGTGCTGACAAGGACGCAGCTATTTCATCGAGCTAATAATAGAGCGAGACAAAGCACAAAAACATTGCCATTCAACTATCAATATTTCGCAATTGTCTCACATTCGCATGCGATAGCGTCGGTGTACTAACGGTGTAAAACAAAAAAAAAATATCACTCGTATCTCTTATAGTCAAAAGTCATTACTTGAACAAATATTATAACATAAGCGAATACTTTTAATTGTAAGACTAGAAGAACTGTTAATGGGTAACAAAGTAGTATTCTCAGTCAGCCGCAAAAACGTCCATGAATATAAACATAAGTTTAATGCGACATTACCGATACAAGTTTGACTTTCATTGGGGCTTAAAAACGTCATTATATCACTTTAATGGACGTTTGTGCAACAGACGATCTAACTATTAACAGTTCTTCATTAATTCTGTAAAAATATCTTCTTAAATTATATCATATTCAGCCAGTTGCACAAATGTCGATACTTTGACATTCATTAGAGCTTAAAACGTCATTAAATTTTAAACAGTGCAACAGGCCGATTCTCTAGTAATTACTTATCTCAACTATAATATGTGTGAATATATCCTAGACAAGCTGTTCGGTACTGGAAAATTACTCTCTAGTGTAGTGCCAACACGACACATCGTTTAGTCGATTGTATTGCCATCTCGCTTACTCCTTAGTAAGCGGCAACGCGCTCGTATTGTGTCACACTTTTAGTTCAGAATAACTTGTCTAGTAATAAACATAGAAGCTTTCGCTTAAAATAAATATTATAATACTGGCAAGACAGAAGGTAGTAGTCCAATCACCGACGATAAATGAGACCGTTAATAGGGTTAGGCCTGTTTTGTATCATAATTGATTAGATTTTAAATAAATTTCAATATTTAAGTGCGAATATTAAAAATTGTGGGTTAGGCCACTTTATCGCTGACAACTTCATGTTAGATGCAAGTAAAAACAAAAAGCCTGAGGTGGATATGATGCTGCTAAGCAACCTTCGAAAGGGCCGGTCATAGGATGGGTGACCAACCAGATTACTATCTCGAGCCACTCCGTGCTTCGGAAGGCGCGTTAAACGTTGGTCCTGGCTGCACCTGCTGTCGTTAACACCCACCAATATGCACTGGCCCCGCGTGATGTGATGTATCAAGAATTAATTTTGTGTTCTTTCGATTTTATATTACTGGATGCTTTGCACTTACGCTATTGTCCTTCTGAATAAGCAATACGTCTCTTTACTATTTAATGTATTGAACGTTTAACGAACGAAGTGAGGAAATAGCTGTCGGCAATTGGACTGTACCAAATTACCTTTATCAAGAAAGGCAGTCCAGTTCTGTTAAATGTTTACCTAATTATCGCATCTCAATAGAATGTTAACTATTTGCATTTTGTCACTATCTACCTGAAGTCCAATATTATTAAATATCTGTCACCATTGATGTGTGAGGACGACATTGCGCTAATAATATTGGACTTTAGGTAGATAGTTAGGTAGGTAGAAAGATTCTATTGAGATGCGATAATTACGTAAACAATAAACAGAATATGGAAGTATTTAAAAAAAAAAACGCACTCAAAAAAGCACCTCCACTAGATGTCGACTCTAGCAAAAGTTGATTTTTGCTGGAAACGAATGGACCAAAGACAGTTATTTCCGTTCATATTAACTAACTGAAATTTGAAAGTTCGAAACTTAGATATCAATACAAATACGAAAAAGTACAAATAGAATATGAGTTTTTTTTAATATGGCCTTGTTCCGTTATACACGGAAATTCTGCCAACATCCCGCAGTCAGAGTTGTTTATTGAGTATTGAAAACTAATTTACTTTTAAACATGACGGAAAGGTTGTCATGGAGAAATCAAGAGCGTACCGTAGCGACATCTAGTCAGATTTCGGGAACTAATGTTTTTTTTAAATACTTCCTCATTGGCCTGCTGGGTCACTATATTTTTTTTTCGAACATTTTAGATATTTACAATATATATATATATATATATATATATATATATATATATATATATATATATATATATATATATACACAACTTTATCTAAGAGTGACATCTCAAAGTAAATACAATGATAAAATAGTTTTTCACACAATATTACACTCGCAATTACATTTAAAGACTAAATTCTAAGATAAATCCGTAACTCGTAACTCTTCTAAAAACATTGACTAATGATTTCATTTAAATTCAACATGTTTTAATACATATAGAAAATACAGACAATGATATTCTTATAAATGGTCTAAACATTATTTCAATAGACAAATATATTCTGAATATAATCTATTATTATATTACCTTGTAGTCCCGAGGGAAATTCATAGTTCCAAAGTCAATGCATCATGTTGTCGTAAAGATCGTCAGTAATTTAATACGTTGTTTAAGCCACTAAGTATGTACAAACATAAAGAACAATTTTCAACTAATTCATAATTAAATACCGATAAAATAGTAAGTCTCCACTTACAATAATAAGTGGCTAAGTGCGATTGAAAGCAAGTAAATCAAAATAAATGTTTGACTGTATTTAATTTTAACACCTTTGTGTTTTATTAATAAGTTTCATATATAAATATATGTCACCGGAAAATAACAAGAACCCCAAATTGATTAAGTTCCTAGGAAATAATACTTTTAAAATAGAAACTACATTTAATGAAATTAGCACTAAGATTAATCTTGAATCCAAAGCCTCAATTATAATCATTCTTTCTATATATATTTGAATTTCGACAAAATTAACAATATTGAATCCTAAATATAACGCATTAAGTCTCAAAATAGCGCCAAATCAAATTGCTCAGTACATTCACGTAGTCAATAAAAACACATTCAAACTATTAACGATCTTATGATTAAGTCGTTAAAGTTCAACGGTCATCAACAAACTTTACAGTGTATTAGAAACCAAGTAAATAATTGCAAGCGATTTACAATTCAATAGTGATTTTGATTTAAGTAACCGCATTGTATGTTGAAGACTGCAGACTTTAAATGAGTTTGCGATAGGTCCAATAGTGTTAAGTTATCAATTAACAAAAAAGCAGGTCATCCGGTTAGTAATCGAATACAAATACCAGGATTTTTATTAAACAAAATTACTAATTATTCTATCTAAAATATTATTTAAGCCTTGTTGGAATGAAATGCATTCTAACAAGCGTTTGCTATCTAATGTTAGGAAGCCATTATCAGTGTTTAGTTTTAGTTTTACTTCTATAAAAAAATTAGGTTTCACAATAGAAATAAGAAAAAAACTTTATAAAACGCAAAAATTTTTAGAACCATTCTTATTGTACCGTGTATTTCTTACAAGAAATATATGTATTTTTTTTATATCGCTTGAATGAAAGACTTCATTCAAAAAATTAAACAATCACATTTTAATTATATATATATACAAAAACGATGTTTCAAAAAACAAAAAGAATGACAAAAAATGTCATCTACGTTTAAGATACATTATCAATGTTCTAACAAAGCAATAAGATTCAATTTACTATAGCAGGTATAATTAGTTTCCGAAAATTGGCAAAACAGTTTATCAACGCCATCGGACCTCTCGCGATAGCCGTTTAGTTCAACTCTTGATCGACCAACGCCTCTCCCGACATAGATAATCTAGAAGCGTTCGGTCTAGGTTTGAAATAGATGAATTTCAAACATGGGGCAAGTAAATAAAGTAATACGGCTCCAGCTATGATGGAGACAGCTAGAAGAGCCCATTGAGCCGCTTTTATTGAGACCGCAACTTCCAAATCGGATTTAGTTAGTTCGCAATCGAGTAATAAGGAACGCCTTACGTAAAATGGTCCTTCGAGACGTGCGCACGGACCGCAATCTGATATATCCCAGCCGATCCATCCACCTGATCTATTAAACAGCACCTGAATAGGGGTATAAATGATTTTTAATATTTTTATTTTATAGATATATACATAATATATATATATTAAAAAATATAATAGGTCAAAATTTGAAAATAAATTTCATTATTATATTTGTTTAATTTTGCATTCACAATGCTATACTAAAAAATGCTGTTTGGGTGGATTGCCTGAAAATTGATGAAAATACGTTTAGTGGTAGTGAATAAAGTAACAAGTGCTTGAAGAATTCGTCAGTTCTATTAGGTCGTCTGTAGCCCAGAGGTTAGAGCAGTCGCCAGGATTGCGAAAGGTTTGAGTCCCATCTTAGAGTGCTAGAGACAAAGTGGTTTTTTTAAATATTTTTCTTTTAGAATATCAATATCATAATATCATTTAGTATAGTATTGTAAAAGCAAAATTGATAAAATATAATAATTGTTGCGTTTATCAACATATCGGCGTTTTGATCTTGAAAGTATCGATAATAAAGAGAACTGTAAGCCGTAACGATAAGTGATGAATGTAAAAAAGTTGAGTCTTATTGATAGCGAACTATCAAATGGTATTTATTAATAATACTACCTATGGTGAAATGAAATTTTATTAATTAGCAACACCGTGATAAATTTCAGCATTTTAGTTATTATTACCACCTCATATACTGGTACAACAAAAATGCCAATTCTGTTTAATTGATTGTTTGTAAGAGTAATCTTCGAAAATACTGATCCGATCAGGGAAATTCTCTCATCTACGCAATGCTACGTCATACGTGACTGACAAAAGCTATATTTTACGTGAGTGAAGTAATAGGAAAACAGCTAGTTACACATATACTATTTAAATTATGCGCCTCGGTATCTTTCGTGTTTACAAATTTAACCGATCAAGAAACCAATGTGTGATCGTCGTTTTAGCCGCCAAAACTTTTTTGAACAAACCGTTTTGGACTGTGAAGGAAGCACGCACGCAATATTTCAGTATCAAGAATTGTATAGAGCTGTAATACGCCAAATTACCTTATTTAAATATAGGTACTAAAACATTGGTTCCAGCAGCGACAGTAATGATTCTGAGTCTGAAATGTCGGGTATAGAAGTCATATCAAATTGTGATTAATTGATAAATTTATATTAATTGATGAATTTTGTTTTATTAAAAAAACTGTTCTACTTACTGGTGTCAGAAACTTATTTAGTTAGTACAACCGATTTATCTTAATTCGATTTTCTTTAATCTGGAGTTTTCTTTTTGGTATTAGCTGATGGCAAGAAACACAGTATACTTTTATTTTTAAATTGGCTGACCTAATCTAAATTTAAGCGAAATGTTTAATTATGTAATAACAACTCTATATAGATATCTTTAAAATACATTAAGATTGCCGAAGCTTGACGAATATAGCCGAAGCGCATAATTTAAATAGTATATGTGTACATATGATTTACCTCGAAACCTTCCATTGCCGTGTACCCAAGAACAGTGTCCTTACCACCCGCCTCTATTCCCAATTTGTAGCAATATTGCGAAACTGTGCCTTCGCTGTTGTCATGTGTCGAAACAACGCGCATATAATTCTGAAAAATTCCTAAACTTCTTAGCAACGGGATCTTGAAAAATGACAACATTACATGCTGAAAAATATCAGCATCCATGGACGGTCTGCTCTAATATGAAGTTCATAAGATTCATCATCATTCAGGATTCATCCTTCCTTATGTATGGTTAATGAGGATGCCACAATGTGGATAAGAGGGTATTAACGACAGCAAATGCAGCCGGGACCAACGGTTTAACGTGCCTTTCGAAGCACGGAGTAGCCCGAGAAAATATTTTTTTGGTCACCCATCCCGTGACCGATCCTTGCAATAGTTGCTTAAGAACAACGATCGTGTGTTGTGTTACCCACTACATCACCGAGATATTTAGCTAGCTTGTAAAGGACAAACAGGACCCATATATGATATCTATGGTGCTGTCTATCCGTCGGTTCCTTATATGATAAGTGAGTAATCCGAGCATGTTAATTAATTTATTAATAGATGTACACACGGCCACACGTTAGACTATACATTATGGACCGATCGCGCTTCGTATAGAACTTCCCTATGTAGTTTTTTATATGATATTTATTGTAATTATTGTTATAGTGGCATCATCTGAAAAAAATTAAACTATCTAGCTATGACAGTTTATGAGATACGTAATAGTGACGGCCAGAAATACCGTGAATTAACAGTAATTTTGACCACAAGTGACTGTTAATTTAAAATTTATTTATGGTATTAATAGCGCCATCTACAAGTATCCGTACAAGACAAAGGTCAGGATAATATCAAGAATTTGTATGAAACTAACCTGTGGAGGTACTCGCAAGGTAAAATATGAGCGGTCATCATCTGCATGTAGCAGATATATCTCCAAATAAGGCAATGTCCATTGCTGTGACTCGGGCCAACAAGCTGCCTGGAATATTAAAACAGCTATTAAAATAGGTGTTCCACGGGGGTCAATCCTTGGCCCTTTCTTGTTTTTAATCTAACATTAGGTAGTCTGCAAGTTACAATGTTAAAGAGATAGATATAAATGTGAATATAATGGATGAGAACATGCCATAAATACCATAGTATTTTTAGATAGGTATTACAGTAGATAGTAAGATCCAGCGGGTTCCTTGTCTGATCCCATTTCGGGAGGGTACAGCTACTTTTACAGCGTATATTGTAATCACTTTATTTTTAAATTTTATGCCGCATAAGAGAATTATAAATCTCAAGGTAAGGGTAAGAATGTTTAAAAATCTTGAAGAAATATATATATGAAAACTTAACGTAAATTTAAAAATATTGTTTTTTTTTTCTATAAAAAGTGATATGCACAATTTTATACATAACGAAACTAAATAAATTTAAATTGTCTAACAAAATACACTAACGCAATAGAAACCAAGGCAATATTTAGATTTGATTAGGTATAAAACTTTCCAAGAAAGCAATTATGAGGTATCTGATTGTTAAGCAGATAAGAATCCTTGACTTAAGGTGGTATAGCTGCTTCGATTGGCGATTTCTATTTAATTTCGATAGCACCCAAATAGGTTTGGTCAACCGAATTTTTCCAAACATTTTTGTCATAAGTTGTGTCTATAAAGCATATATTTTAATCTAAAATAAAACGAAATGAGCATACAACTTCTCACTGTAGAGTTAATTTCGCATAGAATGAGATAACTACCCAGTTGTGCAACTAGAACCAGGCCAAGTTTTCTTTTCAATAGCAGTCATTTGAATTTAGCTTTTTGCAGTTGACTATAACATGTATTGTTGATTTATTATATTTAAAAAAATTATTATACTTTTTGGTCTGTTTAAAAGAAGATTCGTGTTAATTTCAGCTTACCTCTCCATGGTACCAAAATTCATCCAATATTAAAATATTTCCTGCTTGAGCTTGTTTCCGTATTTCATTCACTACCTGAAGATAATAAATAAATATGATAAAACATAATATGTAAAATAAAATATAAGGAAGCAGTTTTCACTTCTTGTGTATGTATATTTCAAATATCACATGTTGCCAACCTATAAAACTTATTTATATTTAACTAATTTTTAAAACTTCCGCCAGCGTCTTCGCCTGCATTGTGCCTAGGGTGTATATTAGGATAAAAAGTAAAGTACATGTTAATTCAGGCTTAGAATTATTTCGTATACTGAATTCCATCACAAAAGAGTAACAAACACATACAACCTAACATACTTTCGTATTAATAATTAGTAAAATTAGAATTGTAAAATAATTGTTTTTTTTTTTACCTTTCGAAATATTTCGTCCGGAAGTCTTATATTTGTTGTGCCACTATCGACAATGCTTTTCTCAGCGTTCAGCATCTGACAATCATCAAGGTCAAGTGGGCTGTATGGAGCACGATAAATTGTTTTGGTTTTATTGATGGAATTTGTGGAAGAAACTTCCATTTCCACAACATTCACTCCTATGACGCCCACCTCATACCATCTCTTATGGAGTATTGGAGTGTAGAACCTAGGTTTATCCTTACATTTCTCATTGTCAACTGGAAAAAAATGAAAAGTAAATATGAAATGGCGCTACAAAGAGTAATTTTACATTAAAACTTCTTTTTAGTTGAAAGAAAACATAAATATATTTTACTGTTATATGCACTGTAATACAAAAGAAAACAAAAATAATATTCACCATGTAACTGATTTGTTTATATTCTAAGTTAATTTACAAAACACCAATCCTTTTATTTTATTGCCAAATAATGATATCCTGTTTATAGATTACTCAATTACTATATTATTAAATAGTAAAAACAAAAAATATTCTGAAACAATGAGCAATTAATTTAAAATTGGTTCCATACTGGAAACAAGCAAAAAATGTACAAAAATCATGTTTATTTTATTTATCAGGAGGCCCCTTGCACATTTATTTTATTGTTATAGCCAGCAGTTTTTTATTGTTAGAATGTATCTATTGTTATAGCGGCAACAGAAATACATCATCTGTGAAAATTTCAACAGTCTAGCTAATATGCTTCACAAGATTCACCTAGATTACAGACAGACAGACAGTCTTATCAATATTATCCCTGTTTTACTTATTTGGTACAGAACTCTAAAAATAAAAATCCTGTGTCATATTTACCGATCATAGAAAATTTTCCATAATGTGTAGCATTTGTGGGACTTTGGGGTCCACACAATTTCAATTCAAATGACACTGACTTGCCAATATTGCACTCAAGAGAATCCAACCATGATCCAACCACGATTTTATTACCCCATGCTCCAACTGGCAAATAAGCTAAGCCAAGAAGTCCCTGCAATTAGTAAAATGTAAATTGTGAGTTTACTTTTAAGTCACCAAAGTTTTAAATGCAAACTTGCCGAATGCGAGTAGCTCGGTGGCGTAGTGGATAAGCGCCGCGGCCCGCGATCGTTGTCGTTAAACAACTTTCGCAAGGTTCGGTCACGGGATGGGTGACCAAAAAAAATATCATCTCGAGCTACTCCGTGCTTCACGTGCACGTGAAGCCGTTGGTCCCGGCTGCATTTGCAGTCGTTAATACCCTCCAATCCGCATTGGGCCAGCATGGAGGGTCATGGCCTATCCTCCTTAACCATCCATAAGTAAGGCCTGAGACCCTGCAGTGGGGACGTAAAAGAGTTGATGATGATGATGAGTTAAAATTTTATAATTCTTATTGCATAGATTTATAAGTAGTAAATAGAACAAATACCATAGTAAATAATTACTATAGTTCCCATAGAGAACATCTAGTCTGCTTACAAAATGCCTTTTATAATATACTCACCTAAATATTGTTAAAACACACAAATCATTTAATTTCTTATTTACCACAACAATGCAATTCAGATAGCTGTATTTTTCTATTTAATCTAAAGTTCATGACCAAGTAGTAATTGTATATATCTAAACGCAAATTAATTGTAATTTTTGTTATCACAGAACTGTACTACTACTTTACACTTTGCATAATTCCAACACCTAAACTATGTCAATACCTTGATAAAATAAATGTACTATTTTTTATGGCATATATGATCGCATGTTCTAGAGAATTGTGATTGGCACCATATAATTTATTTTAAAATGTAATTTTTACAAATTGATAATTACTGTACATTTTAATTGATTCTTTGGGCAGGATCCCACTATGTCATTTCTGTAAACACTTCTAATTTTATAAAACAACTTTTTGATTATTAATATTATTATGAATCTTTAAATCAATTTACAAACTTTGCTGATAAAAATTGCAAAGCCAATAAAATCGAAAAATTTGTTTTATGGATACTCAATCACATAAAATTTTATTGTGGAAACTCACCTGCCATCCTGATCCATTCATGAAGAACTTCTGACTATTGGTAATCACGGCAAAATCAGACCTTACTTGTGGCACTTGAGGTAATGATGGGAATTCAACGTAATCTGAGACAAGACGTCCCACCCACATACCTTGTGAATATTTTGCTTGTACCTGCGATAGATACAAAAAGAAACATTACAGTCTGTTCCACTATTTTCATAATGTCTGGCATATTTGCTAAAGCAAAAAGATGATTTTCCAACAAGACAAGTATAGTCATTGACTATACCCACATTATACAAATATCGACTTATATCCACTGGTTACTAAGGGTTTTTTGATGGCAACTACAATGATTATGTACATAGTCTGTGATTTTAGTACTTAATACAAAATATTGATGATGCTTCATTAAAAAATAGTAAAAGTGAATAGCTTGTAACTTATATATCGCTTTGTGAGTGCATACAAGATTTATTTATCTAAGTGATGAAAGTTCGCAATTTGAATTGTTTAGTAAGGTTAAATGACTACTGTAAGCTCAAATGAGTGTTCATAATTTGAAAATTTATATGAGCAATGTCACTTTTAAACAAATGACCACAATTGGGACCTGAAAATGGGTTACTGCACATCCAAGCTCATAGTTCAATCTTTATGCTGCAATCTGCACCAATTATATTTAAATGAAGACTCAATTAACTAGACTTGATGTGATCAAGCATTCAGATAAAAAAAAAACTGGACTGCATGTGTAAATAAACAATTATTTATAAATAATTTTATCTTTTTAGAAATATTAGATGTGGTGTAGCAATGTTAATTATAAGAATATGTAACATTTTTTTTTTTCAATTTGTTAACATACTGCAAATTAATCACAGAACATAATATGCATGTAGTGATATGTAGCTCTTGAGTTCACATAACATACACTCTTTGTTTTTCTACACAGTTAAAAATCTGATGAATTGTAAGGAATCATACCCACTTTTCATACATTGATTAACCTGTCCCTGTCATTTATTTATTTACAAGCTTTTACTTAGCTAGCCTTGTTAGTATGTTAATTTTAACCATAACATGAAATAATAATTTTCCATGATAAATGCAACAAAACAAACTGTAATGCAAACGGTCCAAATCACATTAAGGTAGTTTTCATAGAACTTTTAAAAAGTATTGATCAGCCTTACAATTTTCATCCTGACTTTATTTTAAGACTTAATTACATGATATGAAAGAAGTAAAAAATAAGGCACATTTCTGAGTTCACTAGATGTGTTAGTATATTTTTAGGTCAAAATTAGATGTGATTCTTTGTACAACTAAAGTCAAATAGTTGACTCTCCACATGATGTTGTTGCTATAGCTTTAGCTACATAAAACAGAAAAGATCATGGATTTATGAAAGCTGAATTATTGATTTATCTTACCTCTTTGCCACTGTCAATAAGATTTGTAGAATTTTCTACTTGGAAATATTTGTCACTATCCTGTCGCGAATACGACGCTACCGCCAATGTAGTACTGCCTGTATCTACTATAACATTGAGCTTAAATAAATAAAAAATATGATTATTTTACATAGTAGGTAATATTTTGGTTGGTAATGATTAATTAGTAAACCAACAATGTTTACCTTTTGTTTGGGTGTACCTAAATAAATTTCCATTGAATAAGCTTGACCGGCATCTCCAAATAAATTATATTCTTCACCACTAACTATAGTTAACAAAAATAAAACATAGTAATGACGTAACATAAACATTTTCAACGTCTTGAAGAAACTTTGTAATTTATTTTCCACAGTTTTAAATACAAATTTGCCTTCAAGAAAACGATATTTTTCTCTTTTGAATAAAATCTCACTTAAAATGTTATGCACTTATACTCCGAATGGTTTTCGTTCATCATTCGCCCTCAAAATTACGATACGAACTGCAAACCAAATAATATTGTAATCTTTGCTGCAAAAGCAAATGCGAGTAACACTGACAAGTACATAAGGCTTGCAATAGTCAATATGTCATAATCGATTTTTATGTCCTTGGTACATATGATAAGAATTTTAACTTTGAGTAAAGGTGAATTGAAATTCGATAAAATAAAATTAATTTAGTTGCTGCATATAACAAAGGAAGATAATCACGTTTTAACATAATAATTAAGAGATTTTCAAATATCCTTAAAACACTGTATAGTAAAAGGTATACATATTTATTCAAAGTATAAATCTCTTGTTTCAAAAGCTGGCATTTACAACTCGATATGTTATTTTCGATTTGTTATTTAAAAAAAAAGAACAAATCAAATGAGGAATGTTCTCCCATCCTTCCAAAACATGACATTTTAGCTCATTCCATAAATGTTGGATGGAGTTCCTATACCGGCATCACGCTAACCATCTCATTACAGTAATATTAACTTGAAAGTACTGGCAACACCAGCTCAAAGAACCTTGGCGCTTTTGCTTTCAACTTTACCAGCCCCCTTATTCTATAACTCTGAAATGGATTGATGACAAACACAAAACTTCAGCACTTGATGTTTACTTTGGGCCAGGTATGGGTAATGAACATTTTTTAATTTATATATTTTATGAACGTACCCAAAGCTAAGTAAAATTACTAACAACTTGCTAATATATAATTTTTCTTCTTGAATCATCTTTAAATATTTATAGCTAAACATCAAAAAATTTTTTATCGATATACAGTATATTCTGTACATCTCTAATAAAAATTCTGACTGTCAAAATCATGTCAAAATTCTTTAAATCAAAGGAATCCTAGCCCATAAAGCCTAAAGTTCATCTCATAAAAGTAGTTTCTCGGATTACAATGTTTTCAAATTCCCGATATCGGGTGATCGTGAGCGCCCGACCGCCCGATCTCACTAGTTAGTGCGTTAGGGCCGATTTATCGGGCAATGTGATCGCTGTTAGGGTGTTAGAGCGCTCAGTCGGTTGTTACGCAGCGTGTGTGTGAGACGTCTTCTCAAAAGGAAATAAAAATAATATTAAATATTATTTAATATTATTTATTTTTCTTAGCCTTATATAATGTTTTAAACATTTATTGATAGCCCTGCATATGTCTGGTACAATTTGTACAAGGTTGCCGGTAAGCAACATTACCCATTCAAATTTGACATTCATTAGAGCTTAAAGGCGTCATTAAACCTCAGTGGACGTTTGTGCAAGTGACCGTAAGTCCATGAGTTCACAGATTTAGTATGATAGTTTGTGTTGTGCAGGCCAGTCTTTACCTATGGTTCAAGGGGTGCAATGCACCCGGCGCCGCGCGTTGGGGGGCGCCGCGCCGATAATGATCTCTAATATGTGTAAAAAGTGGGCTGGGGGGCGCCAGAGCACTACTTGCACCTGGGCGCAAGACGAGCCTAGTGTTATGGATATATTTGTAGTATAAAGATATGTACTCTAATATGTGGCGTGTGGCCAATGAAGCTGATGAGCCCGTGAAGTAATCTTTCGGGACTTCCTCTTGTCTACTTCTTAAATGAGGTCTCGCGAAATGTATCCAATGCGTAAAATTTTTTAGCTGACTCAAATACTCCATAGAAGTATCGTCGTTACAGATATAATGAAACAAAAAAATTCAATGACATGAGAAACTAGGCTGTGAGGTTTAAAGTCCTTTTGGCCTAAATGAAAATTCTTTGGCGCGAAATTTGACGTTGTCAATTTGACATTGGCATTCAAAAATTGGTAAATACGCTGTTCGCAAACAGATATTATCGTTTAGATATTAACGCAATTCACTCCTTTCAGTCGTATTAAAAATGAGTTTGTGGGTGGATAAACATCGTCCGAGAGATTTAATGAAGTTGGACTACCACAAAGACCAAGCATCACGCTTGAAAAATCTAGTTCAACAAAGTGACTTTCCTCATCTGCTTGTTTACGGTCCTTCGGGTGCCGGCAAGAAGACTCGTATTATGTGTTTATTGAGAGAATTATACGGATCTGGCGTGGAACGCTTGAGACAGGAAACCATGAATTTTACAACTCCTTCAAATAAGAAGATTGAAATTATGACTGTAAGTAGTAATTATCATATTGAGGTTAACCCGACTGATGTTGGTATACATGATAGAGTTGTTATCATGGATTTAGTAAAGAATGTAGCCCAAACACATCAAATTGATTCATCGGGACAGAGAGAATTCAAAGTTGTTATATTAAACGAAGTAGACGATCTTACGAAAGATGCTCAACATGCCTTACGTCGTACTATGGAAAAATATGTAGCAACTTGCCGTTTGATTTTAATAGCCAATTCAATATCTAGAGTCATACCTGCTATAAGGTCTCGTTGTTTGACTATTCGCGTTCCTGCACCCACAGAAAATGAAATTTCATCAGTTCTTCTTGGAGTTTGTAAGAAAGAAGGTTTAAGTTTACCAACAGAGCTGGCGATACGAATAGCTAAATGTGCAGATAGAAATTTGAGACGTGCTTTGCTAATGTGTGAGGCTTGTAAAGTTCAACAATATCCATTCACACCAGATCAGAAAGTACCAGAACCTGATTGGCAGTTGTATATTAAAGAGACAGCTTCTATGATTTTGTCAGAACAATCCCCAAAAAAGCTTGGTGAGGTGAGACAAAAATTGTATGAGTTAATAATTCATGGAGTGCCCCCTGATGTGGTATTCTCAGGTCTATTATGTGAGCTAGTGAAAAACTGTGATATGGCAATGAAGTGCCAAGTAGCGAGTCATGCAGCAACTTATGAACACAGAATGCGACTTGGAAACAAAGCTATTTTTCATTTAGAAGCTTTTGTTGCAAAATTTATGGCTATCTATAAAAAGTTTATGGAAGAATCGCTTGGTGATGTGTTTTAAGTACAAATAATGTTTTAAACTAAATTTCTTAGTTTGTATTTTACACCAGTTTGTTTTTATGTTTCTTTAAGTATCTCTTGGTTGTATATAATGCATGAATGGGAAGGTTCCAAATACTAATTACTTATGATTCATCAGAATAAGAAATATGTTCATATTTAACTTTCTTTAAAAATAGAAAACTTTTGTAGAATAAACTCATTTAAAGAATTTTATAGAATAAACTCATGAAAATGTTATTTATAGAATAAACTCATTATTTATTATATTTGTTCAGTTTTGCATTCACAATGCTATACTGAAAAATATTTAATAAAAAATGCTTACACAATCCGCTCTGAGATGGGTTCTTCCTCAGAGTGCCAAGGACAAAGTTCTTTATTGACAATGGATATTTATTAAATGTTAATTATTCTGAGATTAAAATCTTTGAAGATGAGTAACACTTGTAGTCATTTTAATGTTTCTTAACAAGTGATTCTATTTAAATTATATTTTGTATTGTATGAAAGATGATTTTAGAAATTTAACACAAATAGAGTTATTCTGTTGTGCAATTTCCTATTCTGATTATCTATACAAGCATTCTTTCCTCAATCATATTTAAATTAGGTTTGCATCAGGGCTCATAATTATCAAGATTTTTTTTTTTTAAATAGTTATGGGATAAATATCTGATAATTATCTGTAGTTACTGGCAACAATTTTTAGAATACAAAAATTCATTCATATTGAGAAAGTATTTTAAGAAAAAAAAGAAAGCACAAAAAATTACCTCACTATATGGTGATTCTAGCAAAAGTTGATTTTGGCAGGAAATGAATGAACCAAAGCCAGTCATTTCCGTTCCTTTTAACTAACATATTAAAAAACTGGAATTTGAAAAGTTCAAAATTTAGGTATCAATACAAATGTGAAAAAGTACAAATAGAATATGAGTTATTTCTTGAGGTTTGAAAATTAATTTACTTTAATCCAATATTAAATTCTCTGAACTGAATTTCATCTACTAAAACCCAATCCTTTTCATTATTGATATGCATTTTGCCACTTAGAATGTTATATGCAAAATGACATCTTGTTAAATTGATGGCCACACATTTGTTCTTTATTTTGTGATGTAGTAAAAAGCATTGTATAACAAAATAATTAAAATAATTGAGCCCCTGATTTGCTGATGTGTCTATGTGTACATAGACTCGAGTTTGCTGTCTATAAAATACACTATAGAGGTATTTTATTGACTCGAGTTTCGAGGCAAACTATAGGTCAGTTGTACAAACATCCATTATGGTTTAATGTCAGCTTTAAGCTGTATTGAATGTTCTATATTTAAATTTGTATCAATATATAATGTGTCTTTAAACTAATGACAAGTTTAATGGACGTTTGTGATACTAGCAGTTATGTCAGGTCAAAATTTGTGTACAGGAAAAAATTTGTTCTCAGCACGATTTTTTTTCCTATGGTTAAGGTTATTATTGTTACGAGCTAACGGTTTGGGTTAAATAATTGACGCCAATTAAATTCACAATCCGACTTTTCATTTAACAATTTAAAATTTACAAAAATAATTCCATAACAAAATACACATTTTACTTCTCTTATTTAAGTCACTAATTTTACTTCACAGCACTGCTTGACTTGATCGTCCCGAGAGTTCATTTTACTAGTTTACGCTTAAGTGGGGAGTAAAAGTATTCTGCGATAGACACATCGTATACAGATATTGAAACATATAAAGTATCAATATCGTAATATTCGTCGGATTCGGTATTTCGCTCGATATCCGATATTTATAGATTTGGGATTTGAAACCTTAGCGTATTAGAGTTAAAGTTGTTTCCATCCGTTTTATTATAGGCTTCATTTTGTGAAGAATACGAAGCATACGAAAAGTGAGGCTTGTGAATAAGCATGCTAGTTAATCGCACGCCGGTTTATTTTCCCGTGCTAAATTAGCAAGTGTGAACATGACATTCTGCATGATTTGTTTTGTTACTTGTTTACGATTGTGTTTATGATGGCTGAGATTACTGAATACAGATCGATTCACACATATAGGTATATTTTCAAAAAATATATACTTTCAGAATCCGATATTACATTTAGTTTCGAATCGATATAATGAAAATCTGATATTACCCACCTCTACTAGATCTCGAATACAAGCGATCTAACTAGCGAGATGTCACTGAAAGAATGCCTGGAGGAATAGTCCACCGCGTATTTATATGGGCCGATACCACATCTAGAATGTTCTAGGACCTAGAACATTCTATCGGCCCCTACCGCTGTATTGGAGGCGTTACCAAAAAGTTCTAGTAGTAACCTGCCCCTTCCAAAGTACACTGACGTATAGTATAAGACACGCGTAGTTTCGACGGTGTTAGCGCGATTTAAATGATACATAATGCTTTATAATAAAGGGTAGACGAAACATTGCATTTGCGAAATAACATAAACCAAAATTAAGATTTTCTTAATTTTATAATATCAAAAAGATAGTTATTTTTTTAATTTAATCCTAATATTATAAAATTTGGCTTATTGACAAAAGTCAGTCTTCAACCACCATGTGCAATCTGCAAGTATGTTATATCATAAATAGCAGTGTATTTATAGATATTTATCACCATTAATGAGGAAGTATTTAAAAAAACGAAAGCGATTAAAAACCACCTCCACTAGATGGCGACTCTAGAGAAAGTTGATTTTTGCATGAAACGAATGGACCAAAGACAGTCATTACTGTTCTTTCTAACTAACATATAGTATCAATACTAGAAAAGATATCAATATAAAAACGAACGAAACGAATATTAAAAAATTGGAATTTGAAAAGTTCGAAACTTAGATATCAATACAAATACGAAGAAAAATATGAGTAATAGAATATGAGTTGTTTATTCAGTTTTGAAAACTAATTTACTTTTAAACTTGAAATATAACCGGAAAGGTTGCCATGGAGAAATCAAGAACGTATGGTAGCGACATCAAGTTTGATTTCGGGAATTCATTTTTTTTAAATACTTCCTCATTGCAGGTTAAAAAACTTGAATATGTGTCACTGTTTCGTTACACGTGAATTTTGTGCATTGATTACAATTTCTTCCAGTATGAATTATATTAAATAAAAGGCAAATTTTAATTCTAATAATATTTATAATAGTATTTCACAGGCACCTTACTTGCAAAAAGTCTGAAATTGTCAAAAACACAATGCATTAATGAAGCAGTTATTTCATTAGACAAATGGTCCATGATAGATTGTTTCGCTTGTAGAACATTATCTATTGTTTTTGCGTCATCACTATCTGAAACAAAAAAGGATTTTTAGTATAATACAATACCGAGCAGACGCTTTCATGGTGGAGCGTAATCCTAACCTAATTTAAAAACATCGCATTACATAAGCTCCACACTGTGGGCCATGATGGCGAACACAGGCCATCACATTGGTGATGGCCTGTGTAGACGGCATGATCGCCTACAATGGCCCATGATCGTGTGGATTTTGGGTATAATCATCAAAGAAAGTTCGGCCATGGTGGTCTACGCGTTCACACAATCGTCGATTACTGTAGTTTTTCTATAGGTCAAAATGGATTCTGATGATTTAATTTTGTTTGAAAGGAAATATTCTCAAGGTGTGCCACCGATCAGTAGTTTTGCTCTTATATCAAGAAAACTGCAACAACTACATAGTCTAAATTATATCGTCGATGTCGTTTTTCGTTTACACAAAAAAATGTATTTTATTTTTATCACAAAATTCTGTTTTCATTTTTTTTTTCAAAGTTGTTTTAATTTTCTTCGTGATCCGTATCTCCAAATTCCTGTCGCGCACATCAATCATTTTATATAAGTAATTATATCATTGCCGGAATTATAGTGATGCTAACAAACGTTTCATTTCATTTTTATTTTTATCCTATATAAATAATAATCATTATTATAAAATTAGATGCTAAGTACCTAAATGAAATTTTATGTGTTATGTGAATTTGAAACAAGTGCTAACTGAATGAAACTTGCCGCCCTAGGCAAATAATTTGAAAACGACGCCCATAAAAATCATGAAAAAATTAAGAAATATAAAGTGGATAAGCGCCGCGGCCCGCGATCGTTGTCGTTAAGCAACTTTCGCAAGGATCGGTCACGGGATGGGTGACCAAAAAAAATTGTCTCGAGCTACTCCGTGCTTCGGAAGGCACGTTAAGCCGTTGGTCCCGGCTGCATTTGCAGTCGTTAATACCCTCCAATCCTCATTGGGCCAGCGTGGAGGGTCATGGCCCATCCTCCTTAGCCATCCATAAGGAAGGCCTGAGCCCCTGCAGTGGGGACGTAAAAGGACTGATGATGATATCTGTGCTAATATTAGTCTTTTGTAGCATACCGATTAAAGTGGATTAAAGAGCATCTTAAGTAACTAGAACAGACAATCTGTTTGCCGTGCCATTCTGGCCCCCAAGTAAGAGCGCCTCCGGCCCCGTCTAGATTATAGAAAAGTTAATTTTATATATTAAACGGCCGGGAATTGAACCCAGAAAATTTTATGATAACCCGAAAAATGGCGTTTGACCCATTATGATAACGGATATGACAATATAGAATATGAATATATAGAATGAATTTAGGCAAAATACAAGGATATAGAAAAAACATAGGTTACATTTTTTTTTCTGGTAGTGTTTAATATACTATTACCGATAATCACACGTTACATCAAATGTATGGAAAGCTACCTTAAAAAGGAATAAATTAGTTTAAGATAGTTTTGGCGTACGTCTAATTTATTGTATTGAAGTTATAGTTATATCATTTATACCCAAGTATACCCAAGAAACTTTTTTCTTGTTTTATTTTAATATCATTTCTATATTTTTTTTTTATTTCGTTTTCATGAGAAAACAAAACCTACATAAACGCGGTGCCTTTTGGCTGCCTCGAGAAGAAACCTTTAACTTAACCAGGGTTGCCACACTTCCCGAATTTTTCGGGATATTCTCGATTTCGATGACATTGTCCTGCATCCCGAATTCTAATTAATTTTGTCTCTATTTTAATAAGTCTCGATAATCGCTCCATTCTCGCCTTAGGTCCACGCAGGTCCCGTTACAATGCAAACCACATCCTAATAGTCTATGATTCTCATGATTTTGCGTATGCTGGCAGCTCGTAATGCATTTATCAGATCAAAATATTGTTAGTAAATAATTAAACAACACGACAGCTAAAATCAAACTAAAAAGTAAAAAAGAAACCATCAGGCGAAACACAAAAAAGTTACATTGGAGTGGAGTTCGACTACTTACTTCTAATGATCGTCCAAATGTACCGATATATGTTTCTCAAAAGGTGGCAAATTTGAACTTAACCGAAGATTAATAGATGCTGGTCCACCATTAAGTAACTACCTAACTGAGGTGGCTTAGCATTCATAATCACTGGCCGAACTTACTGACCATTGGTCAATGCGGTAATAGAAATTGTAAATACGTACTTTGTTGCAAAAAGTATGTCGGTGTACGGCTGTTCCTGACGACAATTTTTGGAGGTCCTAATAGAATATAATCTTCATTGTCTACACCTTTCCTCTCGGTCCACGAATATGTAACGTTGCTTTCAACTTCATCTGAAATAATATGATAAGTAGGTTATATAATTTATGTATTATACATTAAATTGAGTTCCCCGTGACATTTAGTGATTATTACTACAGAACATGGAAAGACTTTTGCAGCTGAGCCGTTATACGTACGACCAAAGTTTTGGAAATTTTCAAATTCAAAATCATTTATTTAATGTAGGTCAATTCTTAATCGTTGGTCTGGTGGGCCACTGTTGGACCCTGGAAGCATACCAAATCAAAAAATAGTTACTTATAGTGCAAATGTTGAGTATTTTTTTACTTTACTAATGGATTGTAATAAAAACATACACAAATAGGCATGCACGAAAGTTTTTATTTTTACGTTACAGTTGACTGAAAAATTACCTAAATCATTTGGGTGAATATAATAAAACCACCGAATACTATCTAAATATTAGATCAAGTCTAGAAAAATATGAAACTATGTAACACTATGTTGCAAAGTGTAGTTGTTCAGTTTATATTTTTATGACCTTCAAGTAATTACTGAAACCTATAAAAAATCTTGAAAATTTATGCCTGAGCTACGCGACAGGTCCATTCCATTCTTCGGTAAAAGCGAGGGAGGGCAAAGCAAGTGAAAATAAAGCTTGAGTGATGGATTTCGAATTCCGTCTTAACTCCACTGCATCAATCTTTTAAAAAGAAGTCGAAAAAATTTACTAAATGATTTAGCTACTTATTCTGTGAGATAATAGCGTAGATTTACGGTTATACCACGGTCAATTGAACCATATAGATGCTGAAAGATAACATTTTTGTGTAGTATACCAAATTAGTAAATTAAAAATTTTGCGAAATTGTCAAAGTAACAAATTTTTTACTGACTTCAAAATCCAAAAGAAGAAGATTAACTACTTATATATTTGAAGGCGATATATATTTAAAAAAAAACTACCGAGGTGGGGCCTCTTTTCATTTTATCAAAATCGAATCAGTAGAAGTTTTATAACAAAACAAAATATATTTTATCATGAAAAACACAAAAGGGATGAAAATGGGAGTTGAAGTTTATAGGGAATCAAAACGTTACCATAGTAACCATTGCCGACTATTCAATTTGTTAGATTGTATAAGACGGGTATTAACGCGATAGATTTCGATAGTTAGGTTTCTCACCTAACTATATTTCCCGACAAATATTGTTTAATTAAAGAGAGATCTACAGTCTGGAAGTTGGTATCATTTCTCTCTACCGCGCTGAGACAATGTATAAAGCTCGATGATGTTCGCATGCGGAGTACGGGCAACATCTGCAATCTCATTTCATTGGACGACAAACCAATGCAAATAAGTCACAGAAATAACCAATAATGTTAATGATCTATTTCAAGCGTTGATTGGTTTTCAATATCCACTCCTGTTTTCCGACCGGGGCAGAAACTTGACAAGAAGCTGTGACATACTTTGCTTATCCTGTGCACACTTCCAATGTATCGTTGATAGTTAAAATGATAAACGAATATTTTATAGTAAAATATTTTATCCAAATAAAAATTGAGGAAGCCTAGTCAAACACCGCGTTACATAAAACAAATTGTAAATAACTAGCAATATTACTTATCTATTATTATAATGTGGTTCTCAAAAATGCACGCTGTTTCATTATTCTGGAACAATATCACAATAATGTTTCATTTTGTGAATGTTACGGCAGAACCACCTCATTGTAAATGTAGGTAACTTTTATGCTAGTTAGTAGAAGAGCGTTAAGAAAATAGCTGTAACAGTTTGCTAACTTTGTGAATAATGTCTTTAGTAAAGCATTTGACCGACTTAACTTTCATATATTTTCTCAACAAAGAAAAAGCTAATGAATATTTCTTAAATATGAAATATATTTTCGATACTTAGAATAGTTAAATTATTAAAATTAATTTATTATCTTTTACATCCCCACTGCATGGGTTCAGGCCTTCTTTATTTAGGTTTAGGAGGATGGGCCTGGACCATCCACGCAGGGCCAATGCGGATTGTAGGGTGTTAACGACTTTAAATGCAGCCTGAAACAACGGCTTAACATGCCTTCCAAAGCATGGAGTAGCTGGTCACCCAACTCGTGACTGACCCTTGCAAAAGTTGCTTAACAACAACGATCGCGGACAACAGCGCTTATCCACTACGTCACCGAGCTACTACGAAAGTTATTTATGTTGTACCAAAGTTATTGTTTAGAAATTGGACTGAAACAATTTAGGTACCTCCACTTAGGTAAACCATCTCTTAAATTGCCTTACCTAATTGTTTCCAAATTTCTGTTAAAACTTTGTAACGAGTACCTACGAGTATGTAAGTAATTCTACTTGTACAGTCAGTTTAAAATAGCATTAATCTTAAGTGTGCGAGTTTGAAACTTGTTGGCGGCAGGTACCTACGCAAATTTACTAGACCAATGAGTTGAGCAATGTTGTTTCCTAAGTTTCCTAAATAATCATAGACCTTCATCCATTCATTCCTTCATGGATGGAAACGATCGGCCATGATCCACCACGCGGGCCAAATCGCATTGATTGGTGTTTACGACTCTAGATGCAGCCATGACCAACGGTTCAATGTGCCAAAAGAAGCACGGAAGAGCTCGAGGGTGTTGCGAAACTTGCTTAACTTCCGCATCTGAATACCTACGTCAGTCACTGCGTCATCAAGTTCGTAATATAATAATAATTGTAAATAAGCTTTGTCGTCGCATAGGGACTTTAAAAAACTACGTTAAGTTGTGGATCGCTGCTACAACTTCAGATGTTAGCACTCATCAATTCTGAGTCCGCTCCGGGTTTTGCATGAACCGTGTTTTCCGTTCCCTCATTTTACGGCGAATCTTGTGTCACATCAGTGGTAAAGTTTATTGGCTGATGATGATACTAAAGTTTAGTACTAACGAGTAGCTCGGAAGCGTAGTGGATAAGCGTCGCGGCCCGTGATCGTTGTAGTTAAGCAACTGTCGCAAAGGTCGGTCACGGGATGGGTGACAAAATAATTATTATCTTCTCCGTGCTTCGGAAGGCACTTTAAACTGTTGGTCACGGCTGCTTTAAATGGGATCACCTCGGTCCATTTTGCTGTCGAATAATAAAAGACTTTTTTTTTAAATCGGTCAACGAAATATCGGTGGCAATAGATAAAAAAAAAACATTGCCATCGAACATATATAACCTCCTCCTACTTGGATTTTGAAGTCGGAACAGAAAATGGCTTTAATAAGTTTTTAACCGCAGTAGTGAATTATGATATATATACATATATACTTACTAATGTCCATTGTAATATGACTGACGTATGTTTCGCCTTTATCAGCCAGGTTCAAATTAAGTTCGGCCGTTACGTGAAGATCACTACTGAAGGTGGCACCACTGTTCCCACTCAGATTTAATCTAAAAATAGACAGAAAGTTTGAGATATTATTTTTTCTTTGCATACAAATGGAAAATCACGATCTTTGCCGTGGCTATATAGATGGCATTTCCATTACGTTGTTATCTTACAGAAAACTGAGAGCTCTTAACAAAAATTTGTGCGTTTTCTAACAGTGGTTACATTACTATGAAGAAGTACTAAGGGTAAAATCTCACAGTACTCAGTGCTGAGGTTAGGAGCTCTATTTTTGATTGAATCATTTAAAATCTCCTTATCGGTCGACTTCTAATTCGCATGACGCCGTTTTTTAATATTTTTGAATCGTTTGTCTGTAGGGTGGTCAACATGTTTCGAAATATTGAATTTTGTTTTACTTTCAATACATGTTAATTTACTTCACATTACATCACTGTGCCGCACCATCAGAAGTTCTAGCTTCTGACTTTTGCAATGGAGACTGAGTAATCAAAAGTATATCTAACATTTGTACGGGAAACAAGTGTTCAAAATAGGTGACTCGAAACATTCCTAGGACCTAATTGTCATTGTCATTTCTAGGACCAAATGACACTTGAAAGAGATTCACGAATTTCACATCACGATTATTTGATATGTGATAGTAATTGCGATGGTGACATTTTATTAAAAGATATTGGATTAACGATATCGTTAATTTGACTTATTTGGAATTGTCCAAGGCAAGCGTTAGAAGCAAATATTTAATCGATAACACAATCGCTATATCTTTGAGAGGGATCAAGATACTGAATTTAGACCCACTGATTTCTCGGAATTAAAAAATCCTTAGTAAGTTGATATGACCGCATATCAATTGCAACCACCGTAGCATTACCGTAGCAGTATCGTAACCCTTCCGTCTCCCCTACTTCCACATACTGTACTAGTACAAAAATCTAGTAAATTTTAGTTCTTGCTCTTGTACTATAAGTCCCAAATCTGATTCCTTACGGGATTAATATAAAAACTATTTCATACATTCTCAGGTATTGAGATTATGATTGTTTTTCGCGCTAAAGAAGACTAATGTATGCCTTTTGAAAAAAATCTAGGTATTAACATCTAAACCGTACATTCGGTTATATATGTATGATGCAATATCATAATGATCATAAGTATTGTAATATAAATACAATTTAAATATATTTGTAGAAAGAAATGAAAAGAAAAAGTATCTAAATAATTAGTCTCGAGTACAGGAGCTGGTTGAATTTTATAAGTATTTTTTTCTACAAGACTATCTATAAACGCATGAACAAGTTTTTTTTTGTATTATAAAGAATAATTAGGTACTAGCATACTTAACTAGTATGATTCACATAATATTTAAAGCTGGCATTTTAATTTTGTGTCACAGTAGGAACAATAGATTAAGTAATGCAAAGTCTACCATTTTCAATAAACCGTAATTGCGATTCATAATAAGAAACACGTGTATCGAATATATAAATCTTTATTTAAAACAAAATTTATACATATAATAACGAAGAAAATTAATGTTCAATAACAATAAATGCCGAAGTTGGAACGATAAACTGTATTCAGATAAATATAAAGTTTATTGTTTGCACAGCTTATTATTTAAAGTGGAATCGCTGCGTCTTCGTATTCTTCACATTCCGTGCTATTTGTCTGTGCTGCTATTATGTTAGCTGTAAACAAGAAAAAAATAAATTTCGAAATGTCTTCAATCTGATACAATTGCAGATTTCTGTAAAAATCTTTTTTAAAATTATTATACATTTTAGTTGATCAATCTGAAAGGCAAGTCGTGTTATCTTCTAATCTTTTTTGTTTATTTCGTACTAGTTTTCAGTCAGCGGTTTCGCGTGGTCACACACCCGCGATTGTTGTTGCTAACCAACTTTCGCATAGGTCACGGGATGAGTGACCAAAAAATATTTTCTCGAACTATTCCGGAAGGTCCGTGCCCTAATTTTGAGGAAATAAGCTTGCTAATGATGATCCCACTAATTGATTTATAATAGTTAAAAATATATTTTTTAATCAAATCTATTGTATATTCCTTACGGCATTGATCATAAGGCACGCAGACACCGTTGTTTCTCCAATAGTGTGGTTTACATCTGCATCTTGGGTTACACGGTAGTACTATCAAAATGTTTCCAAATTGAGGAGGACATTCTCCTGTCGGTGTAGCTTGACTGCATTGGTCAGTTGGACACAAAGGAGGACATGGGTTGAATACTTCGTTGGGTCTATTACACGGGAATGGTGCTGCAATAAAAATGTATTTAAAGCTTTTCCCCTGAGACATTTTATAAGCATTTTTTATTTTTTGTATCTCATATATCTACAGTCTGTTACATAATTGGTAAGCTCGATAATTGTGTAGGAACTTGTAGGATTTCAATACTATTGATATTTTACTGTTCGAAGTTTCTGATTTTACCATTACTTTTAATTGATCTAATTACGACCAATTTTTTGTAATCGAGGTTTATATTGGTGTCCTTAAAAATCGAAAGTTTTTATTATTATATCTTATGATATGCTTAAATGTAAAAATGAGTAGTAACTACTTTAAGCAATATAAATTGAAAAATGATTCTTATTTAGATACTTACGGCAATTTCGCGTTGGTATACAGGTGCCATTGCACGCTCGCCGGTAGTTGAACCTACACTTGCAAGCTGGTTTTGGGCATATTTTGGGCTTGTTACAGGCAAATCTGTCTTCACCGTCGTACTTAGGGCAGTAGTCAGAAGGACATTTAGTGGGGCAGTCGTCGAGGTACTCGTTTGGACCGCATGTTACATTAGCTGTGATGACATAAAATAGAATGTTTACATTTTGCGAATAAGAAGATGCCTACATTTACTTTTACAGTACATAAATTAAAAACCGGCCAAGTGTGATCGGAATCGGTTCCGTACCATTCCATTAAAAATAGTAAAATAAAATCATATTTGGTGTTTACTATGGAGTAGCTCGAAATTTTCGAGTTTAATATAATTGGTCGATTATTACTCGTTAACTTGTAGCACCAACTTAAGTGTGTTAGTTTTCCTTCATCCCCACTTTACATGCCTTTATTTTTCTTTTTTATTTTTATTTTACAAGTGGTAAAGTGTTGGAGTAATAAACGTGTATACTCATAAATCGCGGATGGGCTTTTTAGAGCTAAACCGCGATACTATAAGGGTTCCTTATTTACTACGGAACCCTAAAAAGAAGTTATTTGGTATATCCTAAAAAAATCAGACCCGCTAGATTGCTAACAAGCAAACGTGACAGTCGGGAAGATGCGCAAACAGAGACGAGATATTGTTCTAAAAATACTTTTTGACTTTCCGTTTTATTTCACACTATTGTCGCAATTATTTTATAAATAAAATGGATTGAATGAACAACTCATGTGAATGATATGGAAAGTAAAGCCAACAGTTTTGTATTATCAGCAGTGCTATTCTATGCTAGTTATATTTAATTGAATCTGTTGCGTGCAACATAAATACTTTTATAGTCTATGATTTTAAATATGAATATTATAATCTTCAATAGCAATTGTTTATATATTCAATGTTTATAAACTAATGTCTATTCATAAGTTTCTATAAATTGTTATACAATATAAATTAATTAAATAAATATTTATATTACAAATACAAAGGCGTCTATGTAATAACCAAACCAGCCGGCAGTTTACTAGATAATACTACAACAGAACCTTTATGCTGTATCAGTGGTGTGCTCAATGTCGAGTTTGAGACTAATTTTAAAAGAATAGCAAAGCAGAGTCTTAGGCGGGAAATTGGACGCTAGGATGTCAATTGAATGTGGGTGCAATAATTTATTAGATGGATGTGTGGAAGACAAAAACCGACGAAGTTGTGTTAGTGATAGAAAAATTTAATCAGTCTGAAAATTTATTTCGGTTAACTAACTAGTTGATTAAACATTTCACCATTCAAAGTTTACCAAAATAGCTCTCGTCAATGCAATATAAAGTGATATTTATCCAAATTAAAACTCTGAAACATGAAATAAGACTGTTACTCAGAGACACGAGTCAAAATCCAAAGAAGGTCGAGCTTATTGTACAGATTTCGTAATTGTATCCAATTTAGATATATTTCTTGAATAGAATATCCGAAATAAAGTTTTGCTAGAAACCGTCGAGACACCGTGAGCGAAGATTTATTTTTATAGGTTTGTGTGTAGGTGGAAACGTAATTGGTAGTTCAACCTTCAATGAAGTTAACATTGTCTAGGCACTTACATATATTATTTGAATAATATTGTTGTGTTCTTTACTCTACCATTTCTCATCATTAAGTAGGTATTTATTAATTATTTAACAGAAGCACGTAATTATTCAAGTAGTTACTAGTGTTACAAATCTATTAAATATTTTCAGTAATTAGCTATTTATTGAGATGGACAAACGAATTAGTCATCAATTCATCATCATCACGTTATAGTGTATAGTAGGTAGGTTACGGAGACTTGAGTAGGTAGGAGTCATGATCCTAATTCATCCTAACACATAAATCTGTTTGAAATTCAAAGTTGGGATTGCTGAATAACTCTCTCGGATTTGCTATACATTCCTACATTGCTATACATTCTATTCCCTGCTATACACCATTCCCAATTATGGGTTTAAAGAGATTTCAAATAAACAATACAATAACCTGAATAAATGTATTACACCTAATGCAAATACATTAAAATTGGTGTTATTATTCACTCACCCGTTGTTTTTTCCTCGCAGCTAACAAACGATAACAAATAGATGCATAAAATATATTTCCAATACGTCATGTCTGTTTCACGTAGGATAATCAAATGGCACCGATAATGTATCACACGAAGTGTCATAAGAAAAAATATTTGCATAGTTCGTGTTGTTGTGCTAGTTAACATTGTTATGCGAATCGTATGTATTCCATATTTGGTTAATTATAGAAATCTTATTATAATAATTCCATGTGTATCTATAAATATAATATAAGTAATAATGATGTCCTTTGAAAAAGTTATTAGATATGGAACATTTTCCATAGAATAAGTAAAACACCATCGAATAATATTTCGAAAAACTTCCTGTTTCCTACTCGACTTACGAAAAAATCTAATATCACATCTGTTTTGGGACATGACAGTTTGTAGGTTACACATTACTTTCAAGAGGTTTCGCTAAACTTGCTCAAGTTTAAATGTTTTTTCAAGAACAATTTGAAAATATACTACAAATAACCGTCCTTAATTAACTAGTACATATTATTAAAAGGTGCAATATTATTATATGTCACCCCACGGGGTGGATGAGATTAAATATACTGCACAACTTTTGCTATGGGAGCAACACTGAATACGAGAAAAAATAATCAGCTGTTTCATACTGTCAACGAATGTAGGTATTTCAATTTTGTATGAAACAGATAATTAGTATATTTAACTAATCTAATCATAGACATTTCTTCCAAAAATTCCATTTCATAATCAAAACATACATATCAAAACATTTCATAACCAAAAGATCTTTATGTTGAGGATATGATTAAACTACCGACTCTTTTTTGTTCAACGAACATATTTCGAGAATAAAATAATGGATAATATATTTTTTGGATTATCACGACATGTTAAGAATTAATAGTTATTGTTTCGGTTACTACAATAGATAGCGCCACATTATTTGTACATCGCGGTATGGTGTCACTTGTTTTTGTAAATATCTGTCTGTAATCAGAATGTAGGTACTGTTTTGCACTTAAATACATCATTTTTATGAAACCTGTATTTTCTTTCGGTTCCATAAATCTCCAATCATTAATATGGAAATAGTGGAAATAGAGTGAAACTAAAAACGTTTATTGCGACAGCTAATTAATACAAAAAGGTGCGGAAGAAGTGGCGGAGCATCAATTAAAAAGAAAAATGAGTAGTAGCTGAATATTTGAGCTACAGGAAAATTCTAAAATATTTTGACATGAATATTTTTGTTTTAAAGCCACTTTTGAGAGTGCTATTTGGGTTATTTTTGTTCGCTAGATATATCTTTATTATAAAGACAAAATGGGATCCCCATGAAAATAAATATTCCCTTATGATAGAAAAGGTCCAGCAGAAGTTTGCATGTTGGTTGTATAAAAAAGCTACTATCCTTTTCTGTATCCTTCGGTATTGTATCGGGTATGGTCAGCATGACAACCTTGTCATGTCAGTATGACAACCTTGCGCTTCGGCGAAAATTACTCGTAGTTTTGCATTACCTTTCTATGCTTTACAACAAAATACATTGTCCTCACATAATGAGAGATTCAGTGTTTTTGATAATATATAATACTGGTAGGTACTACTGGGTACTGGGTTTGTGTACGTATACGCTGCGCAGGCACAACATGCTGGTATATTGAATGTATTAGTCTGTAAGTCAGCATGAAACTCGTCGACTCGAACGACGGAGTAAAAGGAAATTACTATAAAGGTCTTCTACATCCGTGACATATATTCAATGACGGAAAATGGTTTGGGAGACCAAGAACTAAGTGCATAATAATAATAATTCTCAATAAATATGAACAATAAGGATTACAAATTTAAGGACAGCTTCTGAATAAACCATTTATTGTATATGGATGATTTGAAAATATATGCAAAGAATAGTAGTAACTTAAAAGTAATGCTGGATAATGTTGAGATGTTTACAAAAGATATAGGAATGAGTTTTGGATTGAATAATAATACATTACATAGGTATTCAGCCAATGTATAGAAATAATACAACAGGGGAAGGAATGTGCTACTCAATTGTGAATAATTTAAAGAATTGGGAATAGATAATAATATAAATATTTGGGAGTGACTGAATCCAGTAAAATAGGCCATAACCAGAATAGAGAATATAATAAATATTTTAAAAGAATAAAGAAATTACTAAATACACATTTAAGCTCACGTAATATTATAAAACAAATAAATACATATGCAATACCAGTTTTACTTTATTCATTTGGAATAATAAAATATAAAGCTTCTTATCTAAAAAAATAGATACAAAAACTAGGAATTTATTTTGCTAAATATTTACCAATAGCAGAAGCAGGTAGAGAATTATTAAATGTAGTAAATATATATAAGGTACAAGTGCTTTAATATAAACAATATTTAGAAAGCGAAAGTGAAACAGTAGTTCAAAATGATTGAAATAAGAATAAAAACTCAATTGTGAAGGAAGCAACAGAAATAGAAACATAATTAAAATGAACACAAGATAATACACATTTAGACAAATCAAAAAAGCAATAGTCAAGAATAAAAATGAAAAATGGATAAATAAGAAATTACACAGACAATTTGCTAGAGCAGTTTAAGATTAAGCTAATATAGATAAAGAAAATAAATACAACTTGCTTAAGAAACAACAAATACCACCTTCATATTGACTTAGTATATACAAATTCATACTAAGTCAGACGACAAAATAACCCGGTCCAGTATGTATATTGGTACCTGGCCATGAAAATGAAAGAAGCTCCCACACAACACCTAATATAAGAAACTAACAACTAAAACCATGTGGGAAATACATGTTAAAACTGATATAATAATCGTGCATAATACAAACAATCACACGTATCTCATAGCTATATTAATACCATCCGACTATAATGTAGGAGCCAAAGAAAAACAAAATACTGAGCAAATTCCACCTGTTAAAAACCGAAATCTGTCGTCCTTGGAATACTCGTCACAGGAAGGTAGTTAGTAAAGCCATAAAAAAATATTTAGAACAACTTAATCCAAAAAGCTTTAGCTCAAAAACAATTTGTATTAGAAATATGCAATTTAGCATGGTTTACACTTTAATCACACCGACAAAGTGGTGGAAATACATTCTGGAAAAAAATCCCTCCTCTCCTACATGTAAAGATGAGCGTTAATTCAGCGTGAGTACGCTTTTTTAATAATATATTTCAGTGTAGAATTACTATTCGGACGACAAAATAATAAAGAGATACTTTAATATTTAACTGAGGGGCGTTAATTATGTTTGTGAAAAATATTCTAATTATGAATGACTAAAAATAAAAACACTCGAAACGGTAGGAAACAGTTTTAGCTTAAATTCAAAGTATTCATAGTTAAATAATAAATTAGGTGAAAAAAATATGGAGTAGACGAAATAATATACGTTGGATACCTACAAATTGAAGAGATGACAGAATATTCGTTGGCAAAATTTCACGTACTAAACTCTCTAAAAATGCTGAATTGAGAAAGCAAAAACAAGCTGACCATCAACTTCAATAAAAGGATTATTATTTCAAAGAAAACATTTGTTTATATTTTCTGCAAGGCGTTTCGATTCTACTGCGCACTAAAATAAAATAGGAGCAACTGGACTATGCCATAAAAAAATGCGCATTATACACAGAAACACCGGTAGATTTTCCATAATTGGTTTCATCTAATGGGCAAACCTATAACCCCAGCAGTGGGGATGTTGATAAGCTAATGGAGATTATATAAAGGTGGATGCTTACTGGCAGCTTTTAATTAAGATTAGCTTAAGACTCCAGTTAGCAGATCAGTGTGCACAAAGTACCCTCGGACCACGTGGGCGAGGCTGCGGGTTACAGCTAGTTTTTATATATTAGTAGAACTATTGCATAAATGTATGGTGAAGATTAATTAAAGAGAAACTGAGAAACAAAGCAGAAAATGAAGGAGATGTACATAGTACTCATTGTTTTGTAGTTATCAGAAAATAATTGTATGAAGAAGTCAGTATCTATTGTACATGAGACATATGTTCAGCATTTGGTGATCATTTACGAGGGTCAAACTGAAAGTTCTTAGAAAATCAAAAACTGATTACATTAGCCAGTTATTAGTTTTATTATATCTTTTCAAAATATTGTCCATTCACGTCAATACACCGCTGCATGCGATGGAACCACTGGGAAAAGCACTTTGCCCACTCGTCCTTAGGGGTCTCTTCAATGGCATCGCGATACGCAGCCACCGCTTCTTCAGCATTCATAAACCGCTTTCCTTTAAGTTTTTCTTTAATTTTTGGAAATAAATAAAAATCACAAGGCGCGAGGTCGGGGCTATACGGCGGGTGACCCAGTAATTCAACGTTTGATATCGCCAAATAGTCGATCGTTCGCTTGGCGGTGTGCGACGAGGCGTTGTCGTGGTGAAGGAGGATCCTACTGCGAGGTCGTTTCTCTCGAACTTTTTCCAAGACAAGTGGCAAACAATTGGTAGTGTACCATTCTGCAGAAACTGTTTTTTGATCCTCTAACACAATTGTTGCAAAATGACCTATCCTTCCAAAGAACGAGGCCACCATTTTTTTTCCCGCACTTCGATCTCTCTTCACTTTAGTTGGCAACTCCTCGAAAGGAAACACCCACTGAGCAGATTGTCTTTTGGTTTTAGGATCATAACAGTAAATCCAGCTTTCGTCACCTGTTAGTATGTCGAACACAGCATTTGAGTCACCTCCGTTAAATCTTTCAATCATTTTACGACACCAATCCACACGATGGAGTTTTTGAGCCTCAGTCAAATTATGAGGTATCCACCGGGCGCAAAGCTTCCTGACCGCTAAATGTTCGTAGAGGATTTTGTGCACTTGACTCATACCGATGCCTAAAATTGTCCGAATCTGTTGATAGGTCACTCTTTTGTCAGTCTCTATCATACGCCGCACAACACAGATGTTATCTTCAGTCGTCGCCGTAGAAGGCCGTCCCTCACGTAAATCATCAGTGAGATTAGTGCGACCACGTTTAAACTCATTAAACCAGTTGTAAACAGTCGCACGAGATGGGGCTTC